CACCTTTCTGTACATTACACGGAATTTAACAACAATTTTGACCCAAGAGTCTGCACTCACTAAAAGATTTAGTGAAACGGTTACAACTGCTGATCTTCACTTGGAATTTCTGGATGAAATGTTCAAAACTTTCGCATTCCCAGCATCAACTATAACTCAATTGGATGCAGTGCTTACCAGTATCGTAAATCAGCTGAAATCCCTTAACCTTAAATGGGAATCAACGGATCAGGACGTTGGATTTTTTACTAGATTCTATTATTTTGAACCTGTGGTCGGTTTACCTGTTAAGATACCGAAGATACGCTTGTTCTACTTGCATATTGATAGTGCTTCATGGAATGCATCCATTGGGAAGGCTTCAGCGAAAAAAATTAGTTTCGCTATGACCTACAATGACTTCGTATTTAGTATGAATGAAGACCTAATGGAACATTACAAAGAAACTATTTCTTATCAGATTAAAAAATTGGCAGGAGATAAACTGAAAGAAATTGAGGCAGTCTTATCACCTAAAACTGTGTCGGCATGATTTTTTCCCTCCCTTTAAACGTCCACTCTCTATCATTTTTATCATTGTATTAATTAGCGGGTTCCAGCCTCTTTTTCTCATTTACAATAAATAGTAAAGAGCTTTGCTTTAAAATTTTAAACTGTGTAAGCTGTATACGTATTGGTTGAATCGTGCTTGAAATAATCTCTATACTGCGCCACGATTTTTGTGCCTAGCATAAAGGTTATCGTTATTACGTAATAATTTTTGTGTAATATTATACTGCGCCAGGCAGGGACACGGAAATTATGCATCATTTATATAATATCAATGTCACATGATTTTTTAGGAACAATCGTATTCTTAGTCTCTCATCAGATATCTGGCTGATGCAGGACAATGCGTTGGGTTGAATAATTCTATAAGTAGCAATGTCTCTTCTCCCGTCTTTGAGGGAAGTTTAAATATAGATTATTTGTTCGAATAATACTAATACGTACAATAGTTTAACTGGGTAATAATTTTATTTTCCTTATTAAGCAAAATTCCCAAGTTTATCAACAGAATATTTTAGCAAAATGATTTTATTTACATGATATGTGAGCAATATATACATCAGATTTATAAAATAAAGACTATCAAGAATTACTCATTAACTTTTTTTTTTTTGGCATTGTTAGATCTTTTAGCAATCTTTATGAGTCACAAAACACAATCTATTTTAATTAAGAATAATTTTCAGTCAGAATCTATGGCATGCCTGATAACTTATTCATAACAAGGCCAGCCCCAATTCAGAGTCTCAATAGGGGGTTATCGTTATGATTAAATTGGACTGGCCTTATTATTATCGGCACAGAAAGTCACGTGAGATATGCCTTTGCAAGCAACAGTATTTTGGTTAAGAGAAGTAGTTTTTTTTTCGCGTTTTTTCTCGAAACATGTATTCTTTACCTCGATTTTTCTTTCAGTAATTTGTGGAACAAGACGTGATATTCTTCCAGAAAGAAAAATGACTGAATTAATATAATATATTGTTATTACTATACAATGGATTTTCATAAACAAGAAATATTCCTGTAATAACCAATATTCTTATTATTGTTTAGCGTTAGTTTAAACTATTTATATTGAATAACGATAAATATAATTTTATGAATATTAAGTTAAAATATACATTATTTTTATATATCAATTGAATAATGCAGTAATGTAGAAAAAAAAGAATGTTATTTAATACTAGCTTTTCAATTTTTTACTTTTATATGAGATCAACGAAAGGCTCAAATACAATTTAAATAATAAAGATTTTATCGAATTAAGAGATGCATACTAAATTTTCGATTTTCATAAGTCTTTTTTTTTTTTTAAACGAGGTATACAACGATAACGATAACGATAATACCTCCTTTAAACCTAGCCTTAATTTTTTTACTCGATTTTTGAACTCCTACGGCCCCCATGGCCGTAGGAGATGTTGAACCCTAATAACAAAATTCAAATCCTCACTGAGAAAAAGAATTTATTTACAAATGAAATCGAGTATTTAAGAGTTGAAACTAAAAAAATTTACAAAAATTTAGATTACAAAATGATGAATTTAACCAGACATACAAAATTATACATGATAGCATTCTTACTGAAACTCTTGTTAAACTTTCATTCTTTTAATAAATGTTAATTTGACAATGCAAGTTATTTTATTTTTATTGTGATTATATTATTGTTTGCGAAAATAATATTTGGATAAATAAGACAATGTCTTTAAAATAACACTATATTGCGTCGAAAGTGGATTTACGATATGTTATCTCATCATATTTGGAAATGTTCTTTTTGATATTGGCATATCAGAAAATTTAGGCGAAGCAGTTCTACTTTAGTATGTAACACTAGTTTTATGGGAGGTTTTGATGCTTCAACTTTATAAAGGGACTTGACTCTAATGCTTGGTTAATTGATGATACTTTCTTAAAAAAACGGTTTTGATATCCAGAAAAAGGCTGTTGGCTTTGCGAAATAAGCCGACACAATTTTTTATACTGTATTTTCCTTTTTTTATTATTTTTATTATATTATTTTTTTTTACTTTTTATTATACAGTTTCGGCCGCACTGATTATGGGCAACTAGGTATCGGTGAGGTATCAACTGATAAGGTATATCTACGCCTATTCATATTACAAAACTTGTTAATTGTCAGAATATTGCAGTTGGTGATCATCATTCTTTGGCAGTCAATGAAAAAGTTCATACGTGGGGCTTTGGCGAAACCTTTGCTTTGGGAGACAGAAATGGAGAGGATAAAAAATTACCATTTGAAATTGATAGCACAGGGATTGGAAATAAAATTTTATCAATTGGTGGAAGTTCCCAATGCTCTGTTATATTGTCTCAATTCAACGATTAACTGAATTCATCAAAATAGCCTTCAGGAAATGAAAATTTTTTATTTAATTCAAAAATTATATTTCTTTAATAAAAATTATATATATTTTTTGAAATAAAACTTTTTGTGAAAAGAATTAAATATTTCTCGAAATATAACAATAAAGGTGTAGTTTTATCGTATTTAATATATAATTATATATTTACATTTATATTATTTATAGAACTTTTTGCATTTTGAAACTCGTAATATTCTTTTTTCTTTAACTGTCTTGGTATTCTTTTTCTTTAACTATTTCTTCATAATACTGGTTAATATGTTAAATTTGAGTCACGATGAATTAACTATGAATAAAATATTCTTAATTACTTTATTTTAATATATACTAAGTTTGTAATTATTTCTTTTTTTTTCTATCGTACTATTTCCGGAAAAGAATTTAATATTCAATATCTTATTAACAATGAAAAAACTCTTCTTTAGCCATTTCTTCCTTAGTCCTGGTTTAATATTTTAACTTTGAAATTCGAAACTACTAAAACATGTGATAATCAATCATTAAATCACGTGAAGTTTAAATTAAATTTTCATCCCTCCATAATATCGGTACATTAATTCTACACCATTTACAGTTTACAAGAAGGCATGAAAATAGGTTTTTGTAATTATTCTCTAGAAGATATTCAAATATTTCTGAGAGGACTTCGTTCGATAAACGTGTGTCAAGAGAACACATTCTTTAAAGAGAATTTTGACGTTGGGATTTTTTTCAGTCAATAAATAATTTTAAAATCTTTAAAAATTTTACACGTGATCTATACTATATAAATTGGTCTACAGTAACGGTAATACCGGACCATTCTGCTAGTCCATGTTACGGTTATAATCCTTCACCTGTTAGATTAATCGTGTAACATTGACGGTTACTCCTGTAGTGTAAACCGAAGTTTACTCGTAATAAAACTGTTACTTGATAGTACAAAATTTAGTAAAATAGTAACACTTGCATTTAAAATGCAGATTCTAATTTCGTTTCTTCATATATTTAAAAAGTAAAATGAATAGTATTTATAATTATCCGTTAGACCTTAATAACCTTGGATACAATTAATCGTTATGGAATTGGAGTTGAAAAGGATGAATATAAAGCATTCATTTGTTATCAAAAATCTGCTGATATGGATGATGCTGACGGAACATATGCACTTGGCATATGTTATGAAGATGGAATTGGAGTTGAAAAGATGAACATAAGGCATTCTTTTATTATCAAAAATCTGCTGACATGGGTAGTGCTAACGGGATATGCAATGTTGGTTATTGTTATGGTGAAGGAATTGGAGTTAAAAAGGATGAACATAAGGCATTAATTTATTATCAAAAATCTGCTGATATGGGTAATGCTTGTGGAATAGCCGGTGTTGGTTATTATTATGAAAAAGGAATTGTGGTTGAAAAAGATGAATATAAGGCATTCATTCATTATCAAAAATCTGCTGATATGGGTGATGCTAGTGGAACATTTAACGTTGGTTCTTGTTATGAAAATGGAATTGGGATTGAAAAAGATGAACAGAAGGCATTCGTTTATTATCAAAAATCTGCTGATATGGGTAATGCTAACGGAATGAAAAAGGTTGGATGTTGTTATGAAAAAGGAATTGGAATTGAAAAGGATGAACATAAGGCATTCATTTATTATCAAAAATCTGCTGAGATGGGGCACGCGGGTGGAACAATTAGTGTTGGACTTAGTTATGAAGAAGGAATTGGAGTTGAAAAGGATAAACATAAGGCATTTATTTATTTTCAAAAATCTGCAGATATGGGTGATGCTATTGGAATATACAATGTTGGTCGTTGTTATATTTATGGAATTGGAATTGAAAAAGATGAACATAAGGTATTCATTTATTGTCAAAAATCTGCAGATATGAGTAACGCTGGTGGAATAGTTGGTGTTGGATATTGTTATGAAAGAGGAATTGGAGTTAAAAAGGATGAACATAAAGCATTCATTTATTATCAAAAATCTGCAGATATAGGTGATGCTGAAGGAACATTCAAACTCGGTTATTGTTATAGTGGAGGAATTGGAGTTGAAAAGGATGAATATAAGGCATTTATTTATTATCAAAAATCTGCTGATATGAATTATGCTAAAGGAATATACAATGTTGGTTATTGTTATGAAAAAGGAGTTGGTGAAACAAATGCACTTGGCATATGTTATGAAAAAGGAATTGGAATTGAAAAGGATGAACATAGGGTATTCATTTATTATCAAAAGTCTGCTGATATGGGTGATGCTGGTGGAACAAATGCACTTGGTATATGTTATGAAAAAGGAATTGAAATTGAAAAGGATGAAAATAGGGCATTCATTTATTATTAAAGATCTGCTAATATGAGTGATGCTAATGGAACGGATAATGTTGGATATTGTTATGAAAAAGGAATTGAAAAGGATGAATATAAGGCATTCATTTATTATCAAAAATCTGCTGAGATGGGGCACGCGAGTGGAACAAATAGTGTTGGACTTAGTTATGAAAAAGGAATTGGAGTTGAAAAGGACGAATATAAGGCATTCATTTATTATCAAAAATCTGCAGATATGGGTGATGCTATTGGAATATATAATGTTGGTC